GCCTTAATAAGTCTGGTGTGCAGACTATCCTCTCACAGGTAAGCTAGATGCAAGTCGTGACGAACCAAGTCCCCCTATTATCATAAAGATGGATCTTGAGAATGTGGGAAATTTCCTTCGCAGTGGGCATACGGCATTAAGCAACCATGAAGAGATGAGAGAGTCACTGGCAGCGTTAGAAGCGGAGTGACAAATAATCGTGCAGCCTGAGTCATAGTAACGCAGAAGAACCTACTTTAGTGAGCATCAAGTTGATGTCTAAGCACTATGAGAAAATGTGACTAATAAATTCAAGGCATTTAACATACTTAAGACGTGAGGATCGGGTGGATTGTGCCAGCATTACTTTCTTTTCGTCCTCCGTGGAGAGACTGTCATACGCATCGAAGAGGCTGATAAAAAATGGGATTATGAACTCAGAACGTTGAGAGAAAGTATTTGATGAGTACCAAACTAAAAGCTTTCACCAATGTGGTATGAGCCAAGACTCAAGACGAGAGCGCGCTTTTATGGCACTAGCGTGAGGTTCACATGGAAAGGCACAATCCGTACTGCGACTAGGTTAATGAGAACCAACTCACCTCTTAGGAGTGGGAAACAAGGCAATAATATCCTCCGCTTTGGAGCCACTGATTGAATGAATTTGGAGAAGGTGACGACCAAATTGATCACGTAATGGCAATGCGGGGGACTTTTTGCCTAGATTGATGTATTCAGTCCAGGGAATTCCCCACAACCGAGCGTCGCCAAATGCCTCCCAAGGTCGGCGCCCGTCGGAATACACGTCACAATTATACTGAAGTACAATAAGCGAATAAATATTTGAGAGACTTCAGCACTGTACCTGAGATTTTGTGATCAGGAAGCGAGTCATTGAGGCAATATATGCTGCGCATTGTTCACCGCTGGTACAAGTTACGAAATCGCATCCATCAATCAGCTAGAGGGTCAAAAAACAAATGCAGCAGATAGTACTAAAGCAAGAAAGGGAGGGTCTTTATTAGCTCATGAGTACCTGAGCATTCACCATCGCCTGTAACAGTGTTTCGTGTGATATACGAAGGTTATACATGGACTTGCACTCTTCGAAAATGTACATTTTTCGAAATCCCAACTTCTGCATTCTTCCCTAAGAGCAGAAAAATCAAAGTCCCTTGCCAAGGATACAGTCGTCACACGCTACATTCTTTGCCTACTTAAATGATGTAAGGACAACGTTACTTTTTGCTCCATAAAACGACCGTCGACAATGCTGGAGGCGAGATCGTCTGCTCGCTTGCGTTCGATGACCAAACCAAGGACAATCTCTTCGCCTTTTGAAGACCCTTAAAGGAGGAAAATAAAACACTCCCAAGACTGTGTCAAAAAAACACCAGTAAGACCTATTAACAAAGAAGAGAGCCAACCCCCGGGGTCTCGAGCGATCCAAATGAAGTCGCCAACAGGAAGACTTCGAGTTTCCCACTTCACTGCTTGCGTTCGCATAATTTCCTTGACTTTTGACATTCTATAAAGTAAAATACGCCACTAACGAAAGTCAAATGTGCCAAACATAGGCCGATATCCGTACCCATATGTCTCATGGATATCAATAAGTAAAATGATATCGTATGATTGCCCGATGAGATAGTCTGACGGTGAACCATCCCCCTCAGAAGAGACAGCGTGCAACTGAACAGACTGTGAATCTACTAGAGGCCGTTCTAATGGTGAGGAAAACTGGTGGAGCAGCGCCTCTTTCTCAAGAGGAGTTCTTGATGAATGTGAGCTGCAAATGCTTTGCACAGATGAGGATGGCGGACGATCACTGGAAGACACTTGCGCGGGCGAAGCATCTTAACTTCGGTGTCAGTAAGCAAAGATTCCACCTACCATCGAACTGCATTCATAAACCAGCAAAAAACAAGTGATTTAAAATACAGTGATCAGTACATAAAAAATACTGGTCAAAATAAAAGTTAAAGTAACCGCAGTGAAAACCGAAAATATGTTCAGAGAAGCGGATATGTATCCAGTAGATTCAGAGCAAAAAAACGAATGCAATATTAGAAACCGCAACGTCCAACAGCACGAACTCACCCTCGACAGGCAACGCTCAAGTAGCTCAGCGTGTGTTAGTCTATTACCAAGTGCAAGGGCATCCGGAATCGAAAGGGAACACTTGCGCGCAAACTCCACCAACTTATCATCCAAAGTTTTACAAATACTTGGACCAAAACCACTGAGAATCTCACATTCTTTAACAGAGTTAAATTTAATTGGGTATTTTTTGAGCGATGCCAGTGCCTAAGTCAATAACTGCAAAAATCGAATTATAAACCTTCGAATACGCCCTTGCCACCTTCCAGGAATCTCTTCTAGCTTCCTTCGCCATATATGTTAGCCAAAATTCAAAAAAGCGATTAGGATTTTTATAAGTCTTCTTCGCTCGCACCCTCCCCATCATCAACCAATCGAACTCCAAAATGTGACTATCAAAAAATGCACACCTAACCTTCGCTATACAAATGTGTACGTCAAAACAAAAGGTAAACCAGGTCAGATTTGGTTATAAGTGAAAATTAACCGATTTCGCCTGTATTATACTGCACCTGGTACGTGCAAATAAGTTAGTGCCTTGTATAGTAGGCATCACAAA